ATTTACATACTTTTTCCTGTAGCACGATTTATTTACTGGGTTATGGACAGAATTTCAGCCTGTAGTAGTAGCATGTGTTGCCAACATTGTAATCCTCATATATGACTTGGCTTTTTACAGCCCCATATTTAAAGAAAAAAAAAAATCCTTCACATCAGTATTGTGCTAGAGTGGAGTCAGACTTCAAACACTGAGCAGGGAACTTACAAAGCGATATAGAAAAGTGACTGCAGAAAAGGGTTAAGTGGTGGTCCTTCGAGTCTTCCCTTTTGTTTACCTGTCTCTGGTCTCTTTCTATCTTATCAATATTTCTTTGTAAATGAGGTTTCCAGAACTGGACACAGTATGGTAAATGAGGTCTCACTAAGGGCTTTTCTAGAGCAATTGGGACCACCTTCCTTCTGCTGGTGACCCACCTTAGTGATGCATGCTAGAATTCTATTCACTTTTCCCACACTGATTGCTCATTTTGCAATCATTTTATATTGTAGAAGTAATAGTCCTGTTTGGTATTTATCCAGCTCCTCCATGCCTGTTATGGAAATGAGACTAAAGTGTGGTGGTGTGTATATTTATCTGTAGAATATTGGGGGCATAGATCGCCTAGGTGTGTGTAGATAAAGGATTACTGCCTGATTTGTCCATAGAGATTGTTCTTATGCAAATTACTATGTAAAGGTGCGTTTTATCACTTTGGGGAAAAATATGTTGTAGATGAATGGAAGAATTTATTACCTGATTGTCTTTGCATTTTGCTTCACTACAGTTGAGCATTATTAACTATGTGTTGGTATTGCAGAGCTGCAAAGAGCCCAATATGTTCTATGGTTGTCTTCTGATACTGAACTGTCTGCTAGGAGAAACACAGGGAATTCCACAAACTGTTTTTCTTAGAGGAAATGATGGTGACCAGGGCCTAGGTGTGTCCTACAGACATAGGGGGGTTTCTGGTATAGGTTTTCCTACATTTCAGGTCACTTCATGTAGTGACCCAGTAGATTGTATGGGGGAGAAAGGATTATCCATACAGCCGTTTATGGCCAAAGAGCTTTTTGTGTTCCCATGCTGTGCAGACTGCACAACACTCCTTTTTTAGGATACTTTAATTTTGCTAATAATCAAATACACCAGTTGCCAATCTTTCTCCCTGAAGTACCAATGTGTAGCTTAGTGACTGTATGGCAATCTAGCAATTTCTAAGATTGTATTTGTGAGGGTTCACTGGTTAGTATATGGTTCAGCCACAGATAACCTCTTTAAGACTGTGTTAGTAGCTTTTTACCTCACCCAGGGTTTCAGTGGAGGGTGTGATTTGGGTTTGCATAACCCTACTACATAGGTTTCCTGGATTTGATAGTTTATAGTAGATTTGGGGAACTGAATAGAACTCACCCCAAGTACATGTGGCTCAGTTTTTATTTGGAGCCATTCTATTTTATCTCAAGATATCCAATAGTTTGGGTACACACAATAACCTTTTGGTACCATTTGCAGGATCAAAGTGAGATTTGTTGTCGAAGAACCCCATAAACAGGCCAGAGGATCAGATTTACTTTTTGGACCATACTACAGCTTGTTTCACAGGAACCCCCATTGCTAGATTAATTAAAATGGCACTTTCTGAGGCCTACAGTGTTCAACAACCAATTCTTCTGAAGGGGGCTACTGTGCATACTATTAGAACTTTGGCCTCTTTTGGGCAAAAAAAATAACTGGTGAACAGATTTGCCAAGCAGCCACCTGGACCAGCTTGCAAGCCTTTGTCACTACCAGATAAACCGCCTCCTCATCCTCTTCCGCCTCCTCCTCCTCCTCTTCCGCCTTGCCCCCATCGTCCGCCTTGTCCTCGTCCTCAATAATATTCAAGCTAGCGCTGTTACGATTAAAATAAACTAGAAAAGCTACAATTTCTAGGGAAATTGTGTGAAGTGTTCTTGCCTCCACCAGTAGTCTACAACTGGAGTGGTTGGAGTAACTGGGTGGAGTGGCTTGAGTAAATATTAAAAATGAAGGCACAGTCGCCGTTTAGAAAAATTGCCCTTCAAATTTGAGGTGGCTAGAGTGCAGTTTCAATGAATGTCACTGCGCGGCGTGAGTTGCAAACAAATGGTCATATTGTGAAAACTATCCATTCATTCCTATGGGACCAATTTCACCACATAAACGCCGATATTTCGAGAACCATTCGGCAAAACGTTCCACAAAGTAATAGCACACCAATCGGGAACAATCTGCACGGTTCGGTGTATTACTGTCTATGTAGTGTAAAAACTGTGGGAGGAGTTAGGGTGGTAAATTTGGCTATAATAAGAATATGTATGTGAGATAACAGTAAGTGGTCTTGCCATGCAAGAACACTTAATGAATAAAACAATATAATAGAGCAGCTTGCAAAAGGAAAAAACCTCTAAATCCTTAAAAGCATCTATATCATATTTGCAGCACTAAAAATAATAATATATCAAATGGCAATATAAAGTGATAAGTGAAAAAGTGCTAACAAGGAGCGCAGTAAAGTGACAATAGTGCGTCTGTCCTATATGGATGAAAACCAGTGACATAAATGCACAATATAAACCTGTAGTCACATAAATTCTTCCTTAGACACGTGCTTATATCACATATTATATATGTTACAGATCGATCTACTCCTGCATACTCATTCAGGACACTCTACATTCTGCACCCTACTTTGGGAGTACCCCACAGAGGTATACCCTTGTGACGATCGCGGCGCCAGACCCCCAGCCCTTCTCACCAAACTCTTGACCGAAGGACTAGCCAATCTAAAACCGCGTTGTCACGTGCATAACAATGCCACGCTCAGCTGCACCCTGCACAACGATTTTCCAGCTAATGGACCACAATCGATGTACCGGCAGCCTGAGCGCGATTGTTACTGGGTTAGGTTAATTACGCAACTAACTCTTCACACTGCCACCACCTCCTTTTTGTACAGAGAAAGAGGAAACTCGGCAATATCAGCAATAACACTGATGGTTGAAAAAATCGTCTGTATACCACGGTCACCTCAGGCAGGTTATACAGAGGGTTAAACACACACAGTAGCGCTCTTAAGCGGCAGGAATTCGTAGTTTGCATTAAAGGCCTTAAAAACAGTTCAACACTTTCAGCAAGTAAGATTTATTACTAAAAGGTCAAAAGGGTGCAGTAAAAAAAATTTACAGAAAAAGAGGTAGTGTATGTATGTATGTGTACGTACACACACACACACACACACACACACACACACACACACTTGTGTTCAAAATAATATCGGTGTGTTGAAAAAAGTGAATAAAGCTCAAAATCCTTTTTTTTTTTTTTTTTTTTTTTTTTTTTTTACATTTTCCCCTCTAAAAACTGTTTCCTCTCCCCCCTCCCCCCCCCCGACCCTAATCCCACCCCCTCCTACCCCTCTGCATGCTAAACCGCTCTTTCCTTTTTAAAGCAAGGAGATTTTCTATCATTCTAACTTATACCTTCCTATATTTCTCTTTCAATTCAGATTTTTCCCATTTTTCCCATCTCGTATAGTACATCCTTATCTTGTCTTCCTGCATATGGTAACGTTTTTCCATCCTACCAATCTGGTTCACTCTATTAACCCAATCCTCCTCCTTTCGGCACCTCTGATTTCTGCCAAAACTTGGGTATCAAACCTTTAGCAGCATTTAGATAGTACCATATACCTGTTTCTTTATATTTAATTACTGATAACTTGACATTATGTAAGAGGCATATCGTTGGGTCTAACCATATGTCAATCCCAGTTATTATCTCAATCAGTTTAACTATTGACTTCCAGAAAGCTTGAATTTTCGGACACTCCCACCACATGTGAAAAACTGTGCCAATCTCTCCACACCCCCTCCAACACCACTTTGAATTCTCCGCACTCATCCTATGCTCAACACTCGTTGTAATGTGCCATCTTGTCAAACACTTATAATTTATTTCCACCTCTCTCATACTTACATTCTCGTGAATCAATCTAAACATCTTTTTCTGTTTATCCTCATCTAGAACCTCTCTCATATCTTTTTCCCATTTTGTTATAAAAATGAACTTTGTGTTCGTGTCTAATTCAGTGAGTATTCTATATACTTTGGCAGTACCGTGCTTCCCATCCCTTCGTGTCTCCAGCAACCTTTCAAACATGTTCCAATCCTTTTTTGATCTCGGGTTTTGTGAGATTCCCAATGAAACGTTTCAATTGATGATATTTCCACTCATCTATCCTACTGAAGATCTCTCCCTTTTTCTCTTCTAAGTCTTTAAGTGGTCTCAATTCCCCCTCTACCAGAATATCTCTCAATTGAACATCTTCCTTAAACCATCTCCCTGTTATCTCTTCCCTGCCCGGAGGGAAATGCCCCGTGTTTCTTAATGGCATTAATATAGAATTTAAGTCCCATTTCATATTTTTGTGCAAGTTATCCCACACCCTTAAAACATTTAAAGTGTAAAGACTTGTGCTATCTTTAATTCCTTTATATTGTGCTGGCACCCATATAATCTTACTCAAACTTGTTCCACTAAGTTAGTTTTCAACTTTCACCCAATTTTTTCCTTTTAACCACTTGCCTACCAGGCACTTATACCCCCTTATTTACCAGGCCAATTTTCAGCTTTCAGCGCTGCCGCACTTTGATTGACAATTGCGCGGTCATGCAATATTGTACCCATATGAAATTTTGATCATTTTTTTTCTCACAAATAGAGCTTTCTTTTGGTGGTATTTAATCGCCACTGGGCGCTTTACTTTTTGCGCTAAAAATAAAAAAAGTGAAAAATTTTATAATAGAAACAAACTTTTTTTTTTTTTTTCAAATTTTTTACAAACAGGTATTTTTTCTCCTTCACTGATGTGCGTTGATGAGGCAGCACTGATGGGCACTGATAGGCGGCACTAAAGGGCACTGATAGGCAGTACTAATGAGGTGGCACGAATAGGCGGCACTAATATGCAGCACTGATAGGCGGCACTGATGATGGGTACTGATGGACGGCACTGACTGGCATCACTGCTGGGCACTGACTGGCGGCACTGACTGGCACAACCCCTGGGCACTGGTGGGTGGAACTGGTGGGTGGCACTTCTGGGCACAGGTAGGTGGCACTGCAGAGTGGCACAGGTGGGTGCACTGCTGGGCACAGGTGGGTGCACTGCTGGGCACAGGTGGGTGCACTGCTGGGCACAGGTGGGCGGAACTTGCGGGTGGCACTGCTGGGCACCGATCATCAGGGCACTGATCATCGGTGCCGATCCCCGCTCTGACAACTGCCGGTTCTCGGCAGTACTTTCCTCACGATCTGACAGCATGAGGAAAGTGCAGCCGAGAACCGGCACTTGCATTTCCCTGTGATCAGCGTGTCATTGGACACCGCTGATCACGTGGTAAAAGGCCGCTGTGATTGGCCTTTTAGCACATCACGTAATCAGCTGTGTCCGTAGGAGATCACCGGGTGCGCGCCCCCCAGAGAGCGCGTTCTGGGAGGACGTCATATGACGTCCACCCAGAACTGGCCGGCCGCAGTGCAGCCGTCATTCGGCTATCTGCGGTCGGCTACTAGTTAAATTAAATGTCCAGTCATAAATTCTTGCTAAGATTACTGCTTTATAATATCTCTTAACATCTGGCAGTCCCATCTCCCTTCTCTTTGTTCCTACTTAATGTTTCGTATGATATTCTTGGTTTTTTATTCCTCCATATATATCTTGATAACATTATTTTTATTATCCTAAAAAAAGCCTCTGGGAGTTTGATTGGGATCATTTGAAATCTACAATATTTTGGGTAAAATTACCATTTTTACTAGATTTTTGCGTCCTATCCATGACGGATTTCCTCCTTCTAATGTTTTTAATTCTTCTCTAATCTCGTTTACCATTGAAATATAGTTTAGTTTATACAGGTACTTATATGAAGCAGTTTTATTCCCAAGTACAGTTGTGACCAAAATTATTCAACCCCCACTGAAATTGAGTGTTTTGGCCAGTTTGACATTGTTTTTGATCATTCAGTCATCTTGCTTACATTTACATTAAAGAGGCACTTGTAGGTCGTTAACAGTTATAATGAAATAACCATCTGACAATATAGTTTTATTCAACCCCCAAGTGACATTCAATAGTACAGTACAGTCCTTTTACAGTTATAAACGTGAAGCATAGAGCAGCGATTTATATTCCCAAGTATTTTCTATCTTTCCCTCCATATAAAGGGGAATTCCTCTTATTTTTTCTTTTTCGCCCTTTGGTATATTAATATTCAGAATCTCCAGTTTTATGTCATTAATTTTTAAGTTCGATAACTGTTTCTCCCACCATATTCCTTCAGTCTGGTGACTGCGATCTTCATTTCCTCTGCATTTGGGACTTGGAGGTAGTGTTCATCCTGGGAAAGGTCCAACGTCTCCCAAGCCTCAGGTGTGTGACGGACTGCATCACGTTTCCATCCAATATCTCCTGGTAAAGTTCATGTCCTTGCACAAACCTGGAAGCTGCCCCAAAGCATGATTATCCACCATGCTTCACAGTAGGCAAGGTGTTCTATTTCATAGGCCTTGTTCCCTCCTCCAAACATAGCGTTGATCCATGGGCCCAAACAGTTCTAATTTTTATCAGTAGACACTACCCACAACTTTTGTGGTTTGTCCAATGACTTTTGGCATACTGCATCGACTCTTCTTAACAGCAAGGGGGTACGCCTGGGAGTTCTGGCACGGAGGCCTTCATTACGCAGTGTGCGTCTTATTGTCTGGGCTGAAACTTCTGTACCATTGACAAATCTTTTCTCAGTTCCTCACAGTCCACGGGGACTTCTCTCCACTCTACGGGTTCCGAGCATTTCTTTCCCACGACCAGGTAGCGTTTCAACAGTGCCCTTTGATAATTTGCGAATGAGCTTCCTACTCTCTTGGTATATAATCTTCTTATAGCCATTGCCCTTCCTATCCACTCTGGACACTCTTGCCTTCACCATGTTTGTAACCACACCAGTAAATGTCTCTCCAGTATTTTAAAGCCCCTTATTATGCTTGATTGCTGCTTCCACAGTTAATACCTGATCACCTAACCTCTGTTCTTCAGAGTGGTAGTCTTTAAGGGGTTGAATAATTGTGGCCCACATAAGAACCATTTACTACTGTATTACTAAACAATATCAGTTGCAAGTTACAACGTCCTTGTAGGATTTGATTCTGAATACAATTCAAATTGAAACCCCTTTACAGCATTGGGGGTTGAATAATTTTGGTCACAACTGTATTTTATATCTTTCCCTCCATATAAAGGGGAATTCCTCTTGTATTTTTTCTTTTTCGCCCTTTGGTATATTAATATTCAGAATCTCCGTTTTTGTTGGATTAATTTTTAAGTTCGATAGTTCTCCATATTCGTGTTATCCGGGGGTTACCTAAAATCGTCCGCAAAGGCTGCTTCCCTCTACATCTGCACTTTTCCTTTTCAACTCTATCAAATGCCTTCTCGGCATCAATTGATAACACCACCACCGGATCTTAGTATTGTGGTAGTACAACGCCCCTTTAGTGATTTGATATCTGAATACCATTCCAAATGTACACTTAGTCCCTAAACCACCTTGACAGCGCATATGGTGGTTGAATAAATTTTGGTCACAAACTGTATTTTATATCTTTCCCTCCACTATAAAAGGGGAATTCTATACTTAATATTCAGAATCTCCCTCCCGTTTTTTGTGGATTAAAATTTTAAGTTCGATAGTTCTCCATATTCCTTCAGAATCTTCATTATATTTTGGGACTTTTCTGGATAAGCATCAGAGTTCTCAACCCGTTATCTCTACCCTCTCTCCCTCCTATCCCCAGGAACGAAGCCCACCTGGTCCCCATGTATCCATTCAGGCATTAAAACTTTCAACCTGTTTGCCAGAACCTTTGCGTATAGCTTAGTGTCCGTGTTCAGTAATGAAATTGGTCTGTAGCTAGAGCACTGAGAAGCATCTTTTCCCTCCTTGTGGATAAGTACTACATGGGCCTGTAGAGATTCTCTCCTCACCTCCATCCCACCTCCCAAAGCATTCCTATATTTCTTCAGCTTAGGTAACAGTAATTCACTATATTTTTTATAGTACTTCACTGTATATACCCATCTGGCCCTGGACTTTTCCCGGCCCCTGTACTCTTTAATGCTGCTTTTATTTCTTCCTGAGTAATTTCCGCATCCAAGGAGTTCAATTGTGCTTCGCTTAATTTCGGTAGACACGCATTTTTTAGATATATCTTCCTTTTTTCAATGTTAACCTCTTCAGTATCTTTCAAAGAACCTAGGGGACTAATGTTATACAGCTTTCTATAGTACTCCGTGAACACTTTAATGATCTCTTTAGTTGAGTGGACCAACTCCCCCTTGGGGCTTTTTATTTTATCTATATAATTCCTGTTTTTCTGTTTACTTAAAGCTCTCATTAAATATTTTCCTGGTCTATCTCCCCATCTATATCTCTCACTTAAAACTTTATTGTATACTCTCCTCCTCTCCTCTTCCATCAACGTCTCTAGCTTTCCTTTCTTGCTTATTTAACCTCTGCCTTATTTCTTTTGTTTTGTTGTTGTATATGTGATCCAGGTCTAATATTTCTTTTAGAAGCCCACTTATTTTCTCTCTCCTTTCTTTTTTCTTTTTTGCTCCAATCGCAATCAAGATTCCTCTTATATATACCTTATGGCTCTCCCAGACTGTAGCTATCGACACCTCGTCTGTCTCGTTCTCCTCAAAATATAACTTAATCTCTTCCCCAATCTTCTGAGCAGTATCCTCATCCAGGAGAACAGCCTAATTTAATTTCCAACCTAAGCCTCCCGTCCACCGCCTTCCCCATCCCATTACGACAGGTGCGTGGTCCGAGAGTGTCCTAGCCTGTATTTCTATTTTAACCAAAAATTCAATAAGTTGGTGATCTATTAATATATAATCCAATCTTGAATACATCTCATGTGCATTTGAGAAGAAGGTATAGTCTCTATCTTTCATATGCATAATTCTCCAGGTGTCCACCAGCTGGTACTCGTGGATCACCTTCTTCAAAACTCTGAGACCTACCCCCTTCCCTCTGCACGTAAGAGGTTGCATCCTTTTGTGGGTCCATACAAAAATTAAAATCTCCCGCTATTATCAAACAGCCATCAGTTTTTCCAACACACCTTTCAAAAACATCTCCGGTTTCTTATTGGGACAGTATATATTAGCTAAAGTACACTTGATTCCTTGTAGTTTACCTTTCAATAACAAGAATCTCCCCTCCGGGTCAGACTTTCTATCCTCCAGCTCAGATCTTATATTCTTTGGCAACCCTATTGCAACCCCTTTTGCTCTTTTAATTGGAGAGTCGGTATAATACCATATTGGATAATATTTAGATTTTAATTTCACGTTTGACTCTATCTCAAAATGTGTCTCCTGCAAAAATACCACTGAAGATGATCTATGGTGTAACGCTTTAAATAATCTAAATCTTTTCCCCGGACAATTCAATCCATATACATTATACGTTTTAAACTCTATTTCTTCCATCCTTAAGTCTCTCTACCTCTCCTCCAATTCTCTTCCTCCTCTGTCCTTGCTTTTAGAACTCCCTCTTTCATGCAAAGTATTGACCCTAAAGCCTGTCCCCCCTCCCATCTCCCTCCCCTTTTTTCCCCCTACCCCTTTTTAGGCTTGTAAAATGCCTACTGATCATTTGTGGGTCTATTCCCACCTTTGATTTAAGACTTTGGGGTTGACAGTTCTTCTCTATTTCTTGTTTTTTTGCCTCAGAAACTGCATTTTTGATGTTACCCCACAAGTTTTCTATTGGATTAAAATCCGGGGATTGGGCTGGCCCCTCCATAACGTCAATCTTGTTGGTCTGGAACCAAGATGTTGCACGTTTACTGGTGTGTTTGGGGTCATTGTCTTGTTGGAACACCCATTTCAAGGGCATTTCTTCTTCAGCATAAGGCAGCATGACCTCTTCAAGTATTCTGATGTATTGAAACCGATCCATGATCCCTGGTATGCGATAAATAGGCCCAACACCTGTTTTTCAAAGAATGAGTGACCTCACGAATAGAACCCCACACTGCTATTATTTTGAACATGCCCCTTTCAATTAGTGATTCAATTACACAGAATCAGCAGCATGCATGTCATGACTGTTGGGTCTGTTGGATTTCTATTACTCTACTACACCTGCTAGGAAATTATTTGCCACGTAGAAATGTAATTTCTACCAAAAACAGTGATTGATCAGGTTAGTGATCTCTGACTGTTATTATTTTGAACACAACTCTGTGTGTATGTATATATTTCTGAGGCAAAACCAAGAAATAGAG